TTGTTGGCGGCCGTCAAGCCTTTGATCGTCGCCGTCGCGATTGAAGCGGGTTTTCCTTTTCAGTAGTAAACTCCCAACTTCGAAATTATCAGGACTGTATATATATATGTAACGCCTCAAGCTCTATTGTTTACGATTCCTTCGGAATCGTAAACAATCGAAGCAAAAAACGAAGGCAGCGGTAAACTCGGGGTACGAACGTCGGACTCACTGATAAAGCAGCGTGTTTGTATGGCGGCCTAAAATAATTCGTGCCCAGTTTACCCGGCGCTCCGGCAGGACTTCCCCAAATCGAGTAAACTCGGGTAAACACTATTTGGTTTTTGTATGCAAATCGTCCGGATCAACCGGAGGCTTGGAGGCGAATGGGTGGCCAGGGGTAAATAATTATTTGCCCCTGTGGGTGGCTGGGTGGCATCGATCTATGCCAACCGGACTTTACTAACCGGACGCAGTATGACCGCCGCCCTTGCAGTGTGCTAGCAGTAGTAGCGTGAGCTCTCCTGGGTAGGGTCATGGTGCCAACGTAGGCTACGACGTTGCTATGCTAGCAGCAATGAATGCATGGGATCAATACGCAAAGCAAATGTGAAGAGCGTCATTATAATGCTGATTGGTTCGACATGTAAAGCTCCTACGATGGTCCAGAGGCTACGATGGTCCTAGTAGCGTTGGAGAGAGGTCGTAATATGTAGCAGAGAGATACTAAAGAGTTACTAGAGGCCATTTCCGCTGCAATTGGCAAGACGCGGGAGTGCATTCCCTTGCTCGATCGATTCTTAAGGCAGGATGGCGCCTTCACCATGTAGCGACATTGACCCACCCAAAAGGTCTTGGAGAGTCATTTCATGCATGGTTCATAACGTAAAGGCAACATCAAGCGCGCCCTAACGTAGTGTAGAGTTTTGTTGTGCTGGGCAATGTACTTTGATTCCTATGTGGCAGCATTAGAGCATCTTAGTGCACAATTGCGCAGCGCCCCGAGTCTTCCACCGCATACATCGACTGAGATTACCCAAAGCCTCGCTCCATGCTTATCCAAAGGTACCAACACAACAAAGTAACCTCCATACGAGTCGGAGTTACATGGAACGTGTTGAATCGTTGGGCTATTTGTTGTTGGCCCAGAGGAGCGAGCTTTCTACCGATTGCGATACTTTAACACGGAAAATATGTGAATTCAGCAGAGCAAAAAACAAAAACTCCCGGTTGGAATTGAACTCACGTCAGATAGTGTACTTATTGCATTCGTGACGCTTTCGACAACGCCACATTTTCCAAACCATTTTGGAGCTAATTTATTGATTCACTTAACCTGTGTAGGGACTTGACACAATCCGTCATGCTCTGATACCTGGCAAATAACAACGAGTAACCCTGAAGTTTAGACTTATCTTAGGTGCACCCAACAAAAATGTTATCTTAATAGGACAGAATAAATCCCAAAATATAAGTACCCCGATGCTAATATATAAGAACGACTATCTATTAATATGAAAAAGTGAGTTATAGACATCCCGATTGACACTGAACATGGTTGCATAGATGACATCAAGCCAAGCCAAGTCAGCGCGCCAGTGCAATCCCGCATCGTGAGCAAGATCAAAAGCAAAAAAGCGCCCTCCAACCTGGGATCCTGTCGGCTGTACATTCGGACATTGCATCATTATTTATTGGATGACTATTTTCATGAGCCATCGATCAACTAGTTTGTCATCGGCACTTGTCACTCCGACCACCCTGTTGCCGAGCCCGCTCTCATCAAGCATCCGAGATCTCGTATAAAAGGTTGATCAAGGATCCGAGATCTTGGATGAAAGGTTGACCAAGCATCCGAGATCTTGGATGAAAGGTTGACCAAGCATCCGAGATCTCGTATAAAAGGTTGATCAAGCATCCGAGATATCGGATGAAAGGTTGACCAACCATCCGAGATATTGGATAGAAGGTCGAGCAAGCATCCAATATATTGCATAGAAGGTCGAGCAAGCATCCGGGATCTTAGATGAAAGGGGTGGCAGACATCCAGCATCGGCATATCGAGCTTTTTGCTAGTCTATTAGGCAGAAAAGAAGCCCAGACGCGACAAATCAGTACTCCGTACTAGTGATCCTTCACAACGTGTGAGTGTACATATTTTTTAACGCTTTGATGTAGATAGTTTTCACTGCACCCGCGAACTAGTTAAATACTACACGTTGATATGTTTCACTTTCTTTCCCAACCGAGCGATCCCGGATGCTTGCTTGACCTTCTATCCAATATCCCGGATGCTTGCTCGACCTTCTATCCAATATCTCGGATGGTTGGTCAACCTTTCATCCGATATCTCGGATCCTTGATCAACCTTTTATACGAGATCTCGGATGCTTGATCTACCTTTTATACGAGATCTCGGATGCTTGATATCAATATCCTCCAGGGGAGATCCGCTGTAGAGCACGTCAATAAGCACCACCAATTGGCAATGCACGTACTCATACGGAATTATGTATGCACCTAGCACTATCATGTGGGGCTTGCTCGCGCTGGCCGCCGTGCCATCGCCGCCCGAGGCACACCAAACCGAGTTGCAGACCCTGCTATAATAGATGTCGTTCATGACGAACGTTGCCGGTAGTCCGTCGGGTACGCCTGGCAGAAAGCGCCACGCGGTATTGCGTTGCGTTTGAGATGACACCGGCCTCGGCCCTTGGACTCGAGCGCAGCCTGAGTGGAAAATCTTCTCCAATGGATCGGGTGAGCCGAGCCTGCTCGAGAGCCTCGAGGTTGCGTGTGTGTGATCTGTAGACTACTCTAGGAATGCCTTACACAAGGCAGCCCGATCGGGGCTCACAGGCGAGTCGGGCGGCAGCGGAAGTCGGATCGCTCGTTTGCCGGCCATCGATCGTATCGTACGTGCGTTGGTTGATGAATGGCTAAATGCTGGGCAAAATGAATGGCCCAGGCCGACAACCCCAACCAAGCCAGCCCCGGACGCCGCCGGACGGACAACTCCTTTTTTCACGCCCTGACACTAGGACACAAACCTAGCTTCATTCAGGATACCATACGGCGTTTGGCCCCACCACGCGGTTTACCGGCCCACCATCTGGTTTACTCGGTTGTGGAAGCAGGATGCTTGCGGAAGGTGGACGGAAGGTTCATGCCGCCAGCCGGTGCAGCACATGTAGCAGTAGTCACAGCGTAATGG